AAGAGCTCCCTGAGCTACTAAGATAAAATAATGACAGTTTATAGATTTTGTGAGGACTCTACATGTATTTTCTTATAACATGTTGTGTTTGGTCTGTGTCACCACATGATGGATTCTATATAAAAACAATGTAGTTGTTGTTTTTTAAAAATAAAAGCAATAGTTAGTGCTCTTAGAGACAATCAGCTAATTAGAGGACTACAGTGGCAAGTATGGCAGGCAACAGGAAAGCCTGCAGCAGGAATGAGGATCCTGCTGACTCTCCAGATGTTGTTGGACTCCGACTCCCATGAGCCTTAGCTAGCATGGGGAAGATTGTGTGTGTGTGTGTGTGTGTGTGTGTGTGAGAGAGAGAGAGAGAGAGAGAGATAGGAAGTTCTAGACTGAGAACGTCTAGGTTCCTCATCCCTGGCCTTTGCTTATGGCAGGCGTGGGGAGCCTTCTTCAGCCTGAGGGCAGCATTCCCTTCTGGGACCATGAGCAATAAATATAATTCTTACCTTTGTACAATGGGGTAGCGTGGTGGGCAGGAATGCCTCACGTTGGGAGGACACACAAGGACCTGTCTGAGCCAGGTCCCAGCAGGGGGAAGACTGGGGAGGGGAATGGGAGTGAACATGGAAGAGGTAAAGGAATCAGAGGAGGCAAGATGTGAGGGAAGGAGAGGGAGGAGGCAGTGAGGAAAAAGGGGATTTGTGCTGCCGAGGAGGGGAAAAGGGAAGAGTAATCTGATGGAAGAGTTTGGGGCTGTTGACCCATGTGACATGCCGGTAAGAAGGAGGGGGTGCAAAGGTAAGCAGGAGAGGAAACTGTATGAGGGGAGACAGGAAAAGAAACTGTGTAAGGGAAGAGAGTGGTGAAAAGGTAAACAATAGACAATAGACTGGGAAACAGGAAGGGCAGGGGGAAAGACAGGACATAAGACGTATGTGAAACCAAACAAACTGTGCCCTGTGACAGAAGGGAGAAACCAAACTCTTTAAGTAAACAAAGGGCTCTTGAGAATAAGAGACCACTTGGGGTTCTGAGGACATCTGTTTTCTACACACACTCAGGGCTCACCCAGACTTGCACTTGTCCCGTGCCTAGAAAGCATGGGTCCAAGTGGTTTCCCGCTTCTCTAACGCTTTCTAGGCCACAGGTCTGAGTGGTTTTGTCTTTGCCCCTTAACTTTCCCCTGGCAAACCTGCTCTTTAGCGCTAAATCAGAGCAAATGTCAATCCAGAGAAAAAGCAATTGACCTTTGCTCTGAGAGGAAGTGGCAGGGCAACAGCAAGTCTGGAAGAGCCCTCAGAGATCCCTCTTTATCCCCCATCCAGGCAAGCAAGGAGCATTAGAGTTCAAGGACACATTCCAGTCAGGAGGGTATGAAACAGGCCTGGTGATGCTTGTGGCCTTGGGAGAGTCCCAAGGAAAGAAAGTCCTGGAGGGCCACATTCAGTTCCCCAGGCCTGAGGTTTCCCCCTGCAGCTGTTGATGATACTGCCAAACCTTTGCTTACCTTAGGCCAGCACTCTGTACATGAGCACGCCTGATTATTTTGACCCTTCGTGGTTGTTATTGCAATTTGTATACTGCCCTGTACACATAGGTCTCAGAGCAGTTCACAACACAAGTTACAACACACAAAGGCAGATGGTAAGGGTAGGGCAGATGGGGGCTGGTGGAGGTAGACTTAGGTCGGTGGGGTAGTGCCCATTTTCTTTAATGGACAAGCCTCTCTTGCATAACTGCTGATTAATTGGGCCTGGTAACGCCATCAGCTCAGTGTTTCCATGGGGCCCTGTCCTGACTCATCAGGTCAGTCTGATGCCTGCTCTGATTCACCAAGATCCAGGTCAGTCAGCCCAGCGGAAGCTGGCTTCCTTTCCAACAGAAGAGGGAGCTCAGGACCACCTTCGACTGAAGAGCTGGGCCAGGTTCCAGTTGCCAGACCATGTCCTAAATGAAAGAGAATGTTTCATCATATATGCTTCTAGCCAGGCAGTCACTAAATACACAGTAAAAGTGATTCATCAGCCATTAAAAAAAAGTTGTGAATGAGTCACAGGATTTTATTTTTGTCATTTCTAGAAATATACTAATCCATATTTCCTGGTGAGTCTTTGATGCAACCACAATATTTAAAGGACTGCTACTTCACTGCTGTATTTTTCCCCCACAGCCATGTCCTGTTTAATGTTTCATAACTTAGGAGGAATATTATCATTCTTCTGCTTCAGGGGAAGGATATTTTCTAGAACTGGCACCCAGAAGTGAAGTGCCAAGGTGTGATTTTGCCTCTTGATTAGTTGGTCTAACCCTTGGCTTTGTGGGCTACAAATCTATACACACTTACCTGTGATAAAGTTCTTACTCAGTAGGTCTTACTTATGAACTGACATGGATGGAATTGCTTTGCTAAATGGTTGAGAGGAATAAAAATATCCCCTCATTCTGGATCTCTTTCAGCCACCTTCTCTTGAAAAAACCCCCACATTTTCATTCTTTCCTGTCTGCTTCAGTTTTGTTTTCAAGAAAATCTTGGAGAATGAAAACAATAATAATTTGGAATATTTTACTCTGGGTACAAGTTGCTGTTCCTTGCTGTTCCTCATCAATGAAAGTGTTCATTGTGAGTCCCTCTCTAGCTAGTCCAGGATCTCATAATCATTTCTTTGTTTGGGTGCAAAGCCCAGTCACTTTTCACCTGACAGCCTCTCAGTTTCTTCATATGACAGGAGCATTTGAAGTTCACAACCTATTACTGAGAAATAAGGTCCCACATCCTTTTAAAATAATGTTTGTTGGAGCAAGGCTTCCTTCCTTTGACACATCTTTTGCTACCTCCTGTTCCTGGTATTTGGGCCGGTTTATGGGCCGTTCCTTCCAGGAAAAACTCTTTAAAAGGCTTTGAAGTGAAGTGTGCACTTGGTGTACATCACTAACATTCTCAGTGCCAGTGCTTCTTCACATGCACAGGAAAAAACATTTCACTAGATGGTGCTCAAGCACCAGTAATCTATAGTTCTTTCCCTTTCAGGACAGCATAAGAAGATGGTTTTGTTTATGAGGGTTGAAT